GATGAGAAATATTGTGTTTATGCCTTGTAAGTGAGTTGATAAATCTTAGCTGACAAAAAACACTCTAATACAAAAACAACACATACGCAACTGGGATTTGCAACAGTTTATGTGACCGCTCCCATAAAAATGAGCTGTTTGAGTTGCATCTTCTCCCAGAAAGCTATAAATATGTGATTAACATTCATTTGGCCAGTAAGCTGAAGTCAGAGTAGACACTGGCAGTACTAGCAAGGAATTTTTATGTTCAGAAGAACTACTTTGCACAATGTATGTCAGTATACAAAGCACCAACAGGCTTTCCTTTAGGATCAGGTGTATATGTGGTTGATTTATCCAACATACATGGTATGACCGTTGGTAGAATGCCCTCTTTAACTCCATTTAAAGTTGGAGTTTATCTGATTGCTCCACCACTTCTCCAGTATTCTACTGCAGGAGAGGATTTTGTTCCTCTCATTTCTGTATGATTTCCCTTGGAAAATGACATAGAAATGCTTCAGAAAATAAGCTGATTGCTTTAATGCTTTCCCATGTACCTGTGAAAAAATTCTGTGTAAGGCTACATGTGACAATGGTAATTCATTATCCATTTTTGAAGCATCAGGTATATTAGAAGTTGGATCAGTCAAGCCAGGGACATGACTGAATGCTAGCAGGACAGCAGAGAGCTATGGAATAACTAGACTGTTTAGAAATCATTTGTACCATTTGTTCTGAAACAAATAATAGAAAGCACAGCTGGCAAAATACCTTTAATTTTACTTTGATTGCGATAGTAAAATGAATTAATCCATGATTTTTGTGCAGACTGAAATCACTTGCTAAAGCTTTCATTGGTGCAAGGTAAAATAGTATATATTTGGGTATCTGGCAGACTACCCAAATGTGTATCTTTTAGTGTATAGGTGTAGATAGTTGCGATTATTTGTTTAAATATCACTTTTTTTAGGTTAGCCAATTTGATAAATTGTAACCTACAGACCACCTTGACTCAACTGTTATTTCTTTCAGGTTGTTAAATCCAAAGAATTACCATCACCAGGACAGCGCTACATTGATAGCAAGGTAGTTAAAACAAGAGCTGAAGGGGAATGGCTATCTTTTGATGTCACTGATGCTGTACACGAATGGCTCCATCACAGAGGTGATGACTAATGCTCTTCCCCTTCATCTTCCTATCTCACCTATTTTTCCATTACCTCTGAATTGTTTCAGGTTCATACTATGTGTGAAAACGATTCTCTTTCCTTTCATGTTTTGCAGACAGGAATCTTGGATTTAAGATAAGTTTACACTGTCCATGCTGTACCTTTGTGCCTTCAAATAATTATATCATCCCAAATAAAAGTGAAGAGCTTGAAGCAAGATTTGCAGGTAACAAGAATAATGTATTGTTTTTCTGCACAAACAACTGTGATATTTGCTAGTTAAAGATGGAATAATTAACTTTTTAACAGTCTATAAAATATTAAAAACTTAGCTGATTTTAGAGCCTGATGAAGAACTACAAAGCCTTGTCTCCATATTGATGGAAAAAGATAATGTTAAGGACATATTTGCAAACCATGTTATTTGACCTGTTCCAAAACTGAACTAGTAAGATTACACTGATATGAGCACTAACGGTTCAGTTTATCCACTCCTAGCCTAGCATTTTAAACCCAAAGCTCTATTAGTATCTCTCTTTGAGTTCATAGCATAGGTTCCAAAAAATGTTGAATTCTAGGAGAACTTGAGAGGTCACCAGTGCAGTATGGGACAATAAGTGAGAAGACTGAACAGTTTCAGTCTAAAATGTAGTTGTTCACACTGGCTGCATCTACGCATGCAGCCGACTGCAGTTGCTACTTAGCAAGTACTAAATGACTGTGCAGAAACTGCTGGTACTGCACAGTCCCATCACTGCACATGTCATTTCCAACCCTGCTGCCCAGTAGCAACAAACTACCATGTCATAGTTCGTTGCTACTGTGCAGTAGTGGTAGTGTCATGGTTCTTGCCCAGTAACGCTATGTCACCATAGCTCATCACTATGGCAGCGTAGCATCTCGTGTAGACATGCCCACTGGCATTAAAATGGTGCAGCTTTGAGAATTCAAGCTAGATAGTTTTTTAGCCCTGCTGTAGGTAAATCTAATCTAATCTAGATGGTATTTGGCATACGTATAAATTGTTTTTGCAACATATCTATGTGAACATAATGTGTTTTACAAGTGTGCGAGAGGGACAAAAAGTTCTTAGCATGGCAAATTTTTCGAGTACAGACAAGGCAATAGCCAACTGTTCTGCTTGCCAACTTCCTCCAACAAATGAGAAATATATCATCTTGACTTTGAAGGGCAACATTCCCAAAAGAGCCACTCACAAGACGTAAAGAGTGCTGGGACACCAAACAGTTTGGCTGGTCTCAAGTGGTTGTTTTTGAATGGTGATGATTCTGTAAATGATGTAATGCTTTACCAAATCCCACAGTTTGTGAATACCAGTTATTTGAGCAATACTAATGGATCTGCATGCTCCCAGATAACATGTCAGTGTTCTTTAAATCCAACAGTAGTCCATTTATTTTGCAAAGAACTGAATTAAGTGCACAGAATAGCAATGACTTATTGTGAGTGCTAGGGACAGAAATTGCCTAATTGTTCTTGCAGTCTAATATAATTTGTCTGATTCTCAGTGGAAGTCTGTAGACCTGTATCACTTAAGAATAGTTGATCTTGTGAAGCATCCCAGTATCATTCACACAAAGAACCATATTGATTTCACACAGGTTTTTTAATGTCTATAACCAATTATGGATATAAAATTAATTACTGGGGTTAGAACTATCAAAAGCTGGGTAATACCAGTACATGTGTATGCGTTTGCATGTGTGTGTATATGTGTTTCCATACTCAAGTTACTTAATAGACACTGTAATTAGATAACCTCCAAACAGGGGTGAGACAGAACTGTGCTTGCTCTGGTCTTTCCAGCCCCTGATGTTTCAGTATGAAAATGAATTATGGGGTTTGTTTCCTTTTTTTACTAAAAATAAGGGTCTGTAGTTCATGTTTAAAGGTCTTTGAGCCAAACCAAATGTTTCTCTCTTTAGTATTTGTTAATTCTCATTTGTCCAGATACACCAATTGAAGATTTGTCCCACTTGTTATAATGGGATATGTGCCTTATTCCTTTTCAAGTATTATAATTTTAACTCCTGTATCACTGGTTTCAAATTTCATTCTAAGTAGCTTGCTGTATTGTTTATACTAATTAAAAGACTTTAGAAGTATTTATCACTTTTAAAAAATGGTATCCTTTATATTATAAAGTCCAGTTTGCAAGTGTAGTTATTGATCATTGCAGTCATGAAATATACAAGGAAAAAAATAATTTTGAAAACATTAAATAAGGCAGGACATTTAATTTTAAAGATTCCTCACTAAAAGCATTATATGGGCAAGTGTAGTTCAAGAAGGGTGTAATAGCTGTGGTCCTTTGTATTAATATGTTGCCAGAGTAAAAAGATTCATAGTGATTTTAAATTAATTTTGAAAGGCTTCCAAGAGAATATTATGCTTTAATAAATCTGCTCTTGGAGGATTTTAGAATTCTTATTATCAGGTGCAAATTAAGGGGCCAAAATAATGAAGGGAAGTCAGTAAAAGGAAATGATCCATATTGGTTAATGAAATGGAAGACTGTGGGAGATAAGAGCATTTACAAGCACTTGAAGAGATGTAAATATGATAAGGAAGAAGAACTTTCCTATGTGGTATAATAGGGCAAAATAGGGATAAAGGGATTAATTAAGGAAAATGTGGATTAAATATCAAGAACAGACCTAAGGGTACCTTTTGTCCTTTAAAAATTACCAGTCTGTGGAAGGAGGTATGCAATAGTCTCTAAAGAAAAGCAACAAAAGCATTATCTCTTTGGTCATTAAAATCACTAAATTATCATTCTCTAATGTATTTCTACGGTTCCATTAATAACACTGTCAAGTCATTTAGATGGGCAATAATTTGGGGATCCAATATGATGTCAAGCAAGAGGACCATAAATGGGCAGATCTCAGACTGGGATTTTTTCCCCCCATGACATATTCAGGTGATGTCATTATCACCTATTTTCTAAGAGATGTGGGTTTTTAAAGAGATGGTTTTATAATTTGTGTAGAAAAAACAACATAATGTTTATCACCAAAATGTATTTTTTGAAGGTATTGATGACTCCTACACATATTCCAGTGGTGATGTGAAAGCTTTAAAGTCCAGTAAGAAAAAATACAGTGGGAAGACCCCACATCTTCTGCTAATGTTATTACCCTCCTACAGACTTGAGTCGCAACAGCCCAGTCGGCGGAAGAAGCGTGCTCTAGATGCTGCCTATTGTTTTAGGTAAATACAAATACTAATGTATATACGCATACGTGCACAATGTGCTTATATATGTAAAAATGTATTCATAGAAGTCTAAACCCTTTAAAGTGTAACTTGGTGATTTACAACATGATTTGATATTTCTTTTTTACTAGGTGCTAGCCCAAAACTCTGTCCCTCATTCACAGCTATATTGTGTTGGTGGCAATTAAAATTGAAAGGTCTATGTGCACATGAAAACCTTACCTTACACTGGTTGAATGGTCACCATTCCCTTTGAAGTTAATGAAAGTTGCTTGTTACTTCATGAGCAACACTACCAATTGCATAATCAAAGGCAAAAGATCATCCATCTGTGGTTTACTTGATCCGAGCCCAGATGGTAGTTACCCTGGCAAGGTCCCTAGACTATGACCTGGGGAAAAAAATCCTTCTTGATTCTAAACCTGGCAAACAGTTAGCTCTGCATATGTAATCTGGTTGCCAAGTAGTCATCTTTCTTTCTGTATCCCACAACTGAAGATTTGGTCAGTGTCTCATGGGATAAAGAATTACTTAGTCACAATGATTCTTGTGACATGGAAGTTGCTTATTTTTTCACATTTCCCCATTTCCATAAAATCTTACATCTTCCAAAAACTATTGGTTCAGTACAGGTGGAATTTGTAGATTAGTTTCTCAAAAAATATGTCTCTGCTTTGACATAGTGTGGTAATTAAATTAGTACTTACTCCTTAAATAGGATAATATTTCAAATCAGGGAACACATTAGTAGTGAGACATCTAAGGGAAAGACTTTGAAATCTCCCACTGACTTCATGGGGTGAGAATCTTGCCCTTGGTACTCAGAATTGAAGTCATGGCTTTAGTCCTGTTGGGACTCTGAGGTTGCAAAGCAGAAAGCAATCATATGGATTTTGCCCCCTCTGCTTACTGGATGGACTGATACATTTGTGTATCTTTTTATTTCCAGAAATGTGCAGGATAATTGCTGCTTGCGTCCACTTTATATTGACTTCAAGAGGGATCTTGGCTGGAAATGGATTCATGAACCCAAAGGGTACCATGCTAATTTCTGTGCAGGAGCCTGCCCATATTTATGGAGCTCTGATACTCAGCACAGCAGAGTAAGATCTACCTTTTGACACTTTAGATTTTAAATTAGAGTACCTGTGTTTAGAACAAGGGGAGGAGGGGGAGAGGAATGCTGAATGGTATTTCCAGAGCTGTTGTTACCATTAAATGTCAAAAACTTTCATTGGGTGAGGTACGTACTATTTTAATAACTACAAGTGAAAATGACCTGTTACACATATTCCGCACTTACCAAGAAGAGTGCCTGAGACTGGCCCCTAGTCCAGCTGACAAGATAAGCCTAGCCCCATGTTTTTCAGAAGCTAGTATATATCAGTGTTGAAAGCCTACTGGAGAAAGTCCTTCTGCTAAGGCTTTTCTTTTTTTCTACCCACAAGACAGGGGAAGGAATCTTAGACTGCCACTTCATGAACTTTGCCTGGTCTATAGTGGACTTTGGCTTCCAATGTTGTATAGATCTGTTACTTCATTAATTTGGCAAGTTCAATGAAAAATGATCAAAGAAGATTTTATTCCCTCTCTTGATCTACTTGCAAGTTCCAGAAGAATTAAAAAAATGGAACTTCTTTGCAAATTGGTGGATCTGGAGCACTGTGGTCAGCATCTGGATTCACACTAAGCACGATGGCTCCTGTTCCTCAGACCTTCTTTAACTTATCAAATTGGAATTGGGTATTTGGTATCAGCACATTAAATAAATATTTTTCTTCTAGTATGAGAAAAAAATAGAATCCTCTGTTCACCTAGGACACTAGCAATTTGGTATAGATGTTCTTTATGTAGGTGGCAGGCTTGTCAATCATGTACCAGTGATGTCAACAAGACCCAGCTGCAAAAGAGGAACATAAATTCCATCAATGATGCACATTAGTAGTATGCACAGTTTGGAGCAGCACTTGTTTTTCAAGGAACAAGGAAGAATAACTGTCATGGTCACAAATATGTGGTTTGGACAGCAACCCAAGAAGTCAGAGATTGCTTAATAAAGTAGCTAGTGTTGCTGTGCTGAACAGATCTTCTGTCTTTCAGCTGAAAACGCTCTGCTGAAGCTCTAGGAAAAAGGTCGCTTAGTGTTTAACTAACACATTAATGGCATCCTCAGAAATACCTGTGTATCATCAGTGGGTAACCTACATATTTCCCTTAGAAAAAACCATTCTGCACATGGATTTAATTTGGTGTGAAAACTGTAGAGTCGCAAACTTTTCTTTTGCTGATTCCCAACAAGAATTTTGCTGTCAACATCCTCCTTATAACAGGGCAGCAATAATGAACTAAACTAAGGAGCAGCATGAGGCAGAAGCAAAGGAGTGGCTAGTTCATTGATGGGCTCTTTCCTTTCTTTAATGCATTTTGAAAACCAGTGACCTGAAATCTGAAAGGATAAATATTGCTTTTTCAGCTCCCTCTGCATTGATTTAGAGGACTGAATTTTCAATATAGTGTCCGTGAATGAACCTTCATGTCCTCTGTACCCTGAAAAAATATGCATGCTCAAATCAGATCATTTCATAGGCAAAATAAGTAACTGAAAATATAATTTCCTCTCTTAGTTATGTGCTGGGACCTTATTTAAGAATTATACCTTTCTCTCTAGACGTTAACTATATATTACTGACATTTTAAAGCGTTGTAAAGTGTAAAGCATTCACTTAAGTTTTGATGGGGAAAAGAAAAAAAAAGAAAAAGACAAAAGGCTTTCTTGTTAGCAAGTTACACATGTTATTTGCTTGTTATGCACCATTTTTTGCACTGGATCTTAAGCAGTCCAAAGGATGAGATCTTTATTCCATGAAGTTAATAATGTAGATAGAGGGTTCAGTGTATCAAGGATATGCAAGACCCCCAAAATTAAAGGATGCTGAGCATTAGCACTAATTGTAATTAATGAATTAATAAAATACATTTTGTGTGGCCCTGAAATTACATAGAATAACATTGTAGAGCAAATGATCTGTGCCAAAAATGCACAAAGTGATAGAATTTCAGAACAATACCAAATAATGAGGTGTCCTATTGATAGACAGTGAGCATCAGGGAATAGGTTTTTAGAATCTTAGCATATACTGTCAGATATACAAATGAAAGATATTGGGGAAGTGAAGTTGAAGGCATGGGGAGCTGGCAAAGGGGGCAGATTATTTGGAAAGTGTTATTGATACATATATTATGTGCGGTTGCAATATAGCTTTTAACAAATAAGTGAAAGGCTTTCCATTGACTTCAGTGGGTTTTTGATCTTTGGAACAACTGATGCTGGAGGTTTGAGTAAAACATTGATTTGTGGAGGGCCAGAAAGTTAAAGATCAATATCTTCATCTCACTATTTCACTTTCTCTTTTTAGGTACTGAGTTTATATAATACGATAAATCCAGAAGCCTCTGCCTCTCCATGCTGTGTATCCCAAGATTTGGAACCCCTCACCATCCTGTACTACATTGGCAAAACACCAAAAATTGAACAGCTTTCCAACATGATTGTGAAGTCATGCAAATGCAGCTAAAAGATACCCCTGAAATGGCATGTTGTGTGTGTATTAAAAAAAAAACAACCAAGGATAAAAGAAAAAGGGAGAGAGAAAAGAAAAAAAAAGAAAACCTAGGTTCATCAGTGTTAAAAAAAAAAAAAAAAAAAAAAAAAAAAAAAAAAAAAAAAAAAAAAAAAAGGGGCACAAGTCTAAAT